TAGTTGACAACTTTCTCATACATCTCAGGACAATCATAACTCATATAGTCCTCCCTTTCAAAACAACTAAACTTTACTTAGAGCTATTGTAGATTTAACTGACCTGGCTCAAAGTTGCCATTAACTAAGAGAATACCAGTTTGTCCAGAGATATAACCATAAAAGCCGTAGCTTATTTATAGCACAAAACTGATATATTTTATTTACTGCACTTATTCTGATATCTTCTGATAACATAGTGCCTCCATGAACATCAACTGGTATCAATAGTTGCATGTTATAATGCTTTTTTATTAACTCTAAAATTTGCTCATGATAGATTTCCGAATACACAACATATTTTTGTAGATTTCAGTTAATTTCTGTTAGATAGAAGGAGCAGTCAATAAAATCAAACTCATTTATTAACTAGTCGATATTGTAATTTACTGATATTAGATCCTCTTTTTCTAATTGTTTAGCTTTCTCTACTAGCTTTTGTTTAAGAGCTTAGTCCATATGCCAAAAACAGAACTGAACTTTCAAAGGTCCTCACACATTAGTTATCATATTTATTTTCACAAAATCTTTATTTGTAAACACAAAATTTGGTTCAATACTACACTCTTTTATCGCTATCAAAAAACTCTTTAGAAATTCATGCTTTCCTGTGCTAGTACATGTATTCTTCGCCTTTTTAGTTTTAAGTACTAAGTAAGCAATTGGAAACCCAGTACTCTCAATATTAACTATAATACCATAGAGCTCATAGTGTCCCCTTGCAGTCCTATATATTGCATCTATATATATCTCAGTAACATTAATTCCTTGGTCTTTGATATCATTTAATAACGAGGTAGTAAAACTAATTGCTACAGACTCAGAGTTTCACACATACAAATATTAATGAAAGCCCAAATTACTGTATTTATCAAGCAATTTAAGTGCAGACTCAACAGGATCAATATGATGCTGAAACCTACTCTGGTCTGCAATAGACTTCCAATAAAATATTCACTTATACGAATATTTTGAGATAACAAATTCTTTACATCATAGATGATTTACTAATTTAGTTGTGATAAGATATGAATACATACTTATCTCCTTCTTCAGTTTATTAAGCATTTCAGCAATAAAATCTGAGTGTGGATAAAGAAATCTATGATATATATCTATAGCTGCAATACTAAGTACTATATCAATTCTTACTATGATCTTAGCTTCACAATCATAGTATTCATGCTACTCACGATTTGAGTCCTTATACTCTTTACTCTTCGCTTTATTTGACTAGCAACAGATATATATAAATCTACTAACTGTGTTACTGAATTTTCTTGACAAATCTGTCTTTTTATAACTTGTTTATTAGATAAAAAAAAAAAAAAAAAAAAAGTTTATTAGAGATAAAAAAAAAATTTACTAAAAAAACAAAAAATCATTTAATTAGTAATTTTTTTTTTTCAACTCATAGGTTGAGGTAAGGTCTTGTCTCTATCTTTATTTTTGTAAAATATAGTTAAGAGTTTATATGAAACTACCTAGTAATAAATTACATGCAAGAATTGA